ATATATATATATATATATATATATATATATATATATATATATATATGCGTGCTAATATTATTATGGATAAGTTCCATTTGGTTGTTTTTGCAATTCTTTGAAGTATCACTTTTTCAATCTTTTATGTAATAGCTTACCTATACTATAGTTGGATTAAAATGTTAATTGAATTGTTCCCTTAAAGTATCAACCCTTTTGAATAGGTGTTTATTTGTGTTCTTAATAGAAGATGACTTTAATTAATGTGAAACTTTCACGTATAGCTACTTACAAATAGTTTAATTACTCTCTATAGCTATAGTTTGATAATTACAATTCTTACCTACATGTTATAGAGAGGAGAGAGGAGAGCGAGACCGAGAGAGAGAAGAGAGGTGAGAAAGAGGGCAAAAAGTGAGAGTGAGTTGAATTGTATATGTATATCGGTTAGATTGTATATTAATTATACATATGTATTTGTATATGGCAACCGAGATTGGGAAAGGTAGGAAGAGGCGAGAGAGATTGGGAGAGAGGCGAGCAACATTGGGAGACAGGCAAGCGAGAGAGGACAAAAAATGGGAGATAAGTAAATTATATATGTATATCGGCTAGATAATTGTATATTACGCATATGCAGTTGTATATATGACAATGGAGATTGAGAGAGACTAGAGAGAGGCGAGCGAGATTGGGAGGGAAGAGAGAGGCGAGCGAGAAAGGGCAGAGAGTGCAAGAGAGATGAATTGTATATGTGTATCTATTAGATAATCGTATATTATACATATGTATTTCTATATTCCGACGAATCATACATATACAAACTCAAACTCAACCATGTAATTATGTATAATGTTAGTCGTTAATAATAATAGCAAATTATAGATACAATAAATAATTAAATAGTATAAATTTATTTGATCACGTAATTTTTCCTTAATTATAATTATAAGATTCTTTTAGTTTTGTTCTTGGGTTTGCTTTTTATATAGAGTAATTGATTGTCATACAACCATTATTCTCAATTTATCCACCTGATAATGGTGTCATTCTTTTAGCTGCTATTTTTTTTGTGTTTAGTTAAAAGTGTTTTTACTTATTTTTCGTATATTGGATGTTTGTATAATTTCAACTGTGGTCAAAATGAGTTGATAAACAAACGAGTTATTACTTCACACAATATTACTTCAAATGAACTGACTTAGGCTAAAATAAATATCGTAACTCAAATCTCTTTAATTTTTATTAAGCTTTAATTATTATATTTATTTTTTTATAATTTTTAATACCTAAAAAAAATAAATCTCGCAAATTAAAATAACAAAATTTTGCATATATCAATTTGGACTACACAATTATTTTAGATTTTGAACTAATAGATAGACGATTGAATAATCCGTCCCAACTTAAAATTGGACAAATTTTATTTTCATAAATCAATTCTATAAAAGTAGAAAGAAAAAGATATAATAAAATGAATATTTGCTTCTCAACTAAGTAAAGTTATACCAAACAAACAGTAAAATTATAGTAATGTACACTTTGATTATTTATTTTTTTAAATAAGAAAACATAATTGTAAAGTCCCTTTTGGGTTATCCTTTACAATTTTACTTTCACCAAACTAAAAAAAAAACATAAAATAAAAAACAACACACCTTTTTTCAGGCATTTTCCATTTTTCTTTAAATTAAAAATACCCACTATATATTTTTCACCTTTTTTTTCCAAATAATGAGTATGTAATTTATCTGTTTACAGCACGAGTTGAAATCCAGTGACACCTCGCCGTCGGTGATCCACCGGAGACCATTGATCTTTTACCGGCGGCGACTGTTGAAGATGAAGCTGATGACGATTTCATCGAGAACTCATTATCCGGTGACCCGAATAACTGTATATCCGAATTCTCAAACCGACCCGACCCGCCTGGAAGTCTCATGTAAGAACCTAATAACGGCGAATCATTATTCATCCATCTTGGTGAACCAGTAGCAATTTGGCCTCCATTTTTGTAATCCATTATTGCTTTGTAAACAAATGGAATTAATCCTTCCATTTTTTATTTTTTTTTAAAAAAAGCAATTGGATTTTTGAATTTTGGTATTTAGTTTTAGAGATTTATTTATTTTTGGTAATTAATTTGGAGAATTTTGGAAGGGGAAGAGGGGTTTTTAAAAGAGGAAGAGGGTGACGTGGCTTAGTGGTTAGAGTCCAGCTGTCAATTCTTACTCAAGCTGACAATCAAGCACGATTTTTTATTTTTTAAAAAAACAATAAAAAATCCTTCCATTAAAAAAAAACATGAGGCATGTTTAGTAAGGTAAAGCATCCCAGTGCGATAGGTATTTATTCATCGTGAAGTAGAAAATGTTATCTTAAATATGAGATTTTTTAATATAAATTTAAATTTTATCAAATTTTAATATAAACGCGGATTCTAGGCGGAAAACCAAAAAAAGTAAAGTAGATAATAGGAAAAATTAAGGTCCTATATCTACTGAAGTAATTTAAAAATATGCGTATATATTTATCATTTGAAATGATGTAATTGGGTAGAAATATTATA